TTTATTTTTTCTTTATCTAAAGCTATAAACTTTATACATTTTATTACCTGTTGTCGTATTTATTACCTATTTTGGCTAAATTTACTTCCAAAAATGAGAATCTTTGAAGTAATTGCATTTTTTATTTTAAAGACAATCCATTTTGAAATGATATATGAAATATATTGGTATAGAAACAAAAACAAGAGTTTTAAAGGTAATATTTATTCATCATCTAATATAAGCTATTAAAAAAAGATAAAAGCTTGTTTTATCCTGTGCTCTTCATCTTATCTGATTTTTCCTAAACTATTATAATTACACATTACTTTTAATTAAAAATTAAAGTAGATGCAATGAAAGAATCCGATACAGATCGTAGTAATACATGGAAGAGCTAACTTGTTAGAGCAATATGATCGTAGAGTAATGGAATGTTAGTGGTCTGGAACATGGACGGATACGGTAGTTGTCCAATTAGGATTGGTGCTGTCTCTGTCCTTGTTGCCGTAGTAGTTGTTGTTGCTATTGCTACTGTTGTTGTTGTTGTTGTTGTTGATGATGCTGTTGTTGCTATGGGTGGCATAAATGATGATGATGATGATAATGATGATGATAACTTGGTTGGTGTGGTAACAGTTATTGCTGATGACGAAGTTGGTGTTATAGATGGGACATAAGGCATATTTTCCACTCCATAAAGTGTTTTCACATCACGTTGATTTGCAGGAAATAATGATAGAGAATTAACGGAATAAGTAGATGGGGAAATTTTATCAGGTAAAATATGAACAATTTTTCCATTCGATTTTTGATAATTTGATAAAGTTACTGCATTTTGATGATTACTGTCACTATGATTATTACTGCTACCATTATCATTGTTATTAATGTGATTATGATTATTATCATGTCGTAAGAGGGCATCAATTGAGGTGAACATTTTAGGATGAGCTTATAAAAGAGACAGAAGAAGAACACAACGATATATAATTATGATTGAAACTTAAAAGAGCTCAAATCGCCTTCTTTTTCCTCCCTTTAATCTTTGTTTATTTTTTCTCTTCCATCATTTTCATGATTACTTCCTTTTCATTCTTATCCTCTTCATTTTATTTATCCTTTTCTACTTTTCTCAAATATTATCATCAAAACTAAACTAACTGGTTGGGAGTGGTTTCATTCTTAATTCAATTATTTCAATAGTTTAAAGAGATTCAAATGAAAAAAAAATCCGTTGGGAATTTTCCTTTTCTATTCTCTTTTCCTTTCTTTTCTCTCTCCCTTTTCTTTCTAGTTTTTTTTCCTCTCTCCTTCCATCTTTTCGATGTTTTTTAAGAAAATTTCTCTTTCTTTTTTTTAACATCCATTTCAGATCAAATATTTCACAATATTCCACCAGAAAAAGAAAGAGGAAAATTTTTTGATGTCAGTTTGAGAAACAAAAATTTTGCTAACTTTATTACATATATTTAAAAGAGATGGAAACGAATGGACGAAAATGGTTATCAGTCAAAATCATAAAATATATTCCCACAGGAAAATTATGGATAAACCTTTCTCCTCTCATTTTTGTGAAAAAAATATTTATTGCTGCAACAAATGAATAACACTTGAAAGCTTGGTCTTTTTTATTCTCCTTTTTATAAAAGAATTTTTTAAATAAATAATTTAAAAAAAAAGAATGATGACATGTAAGTGTGCCAAATGTTCCTTCTAAATGAATTAATTAAAAGAAAAAATGTTGCGGAAAGAATGGAAAAGCGAAGGGTGCAAAAAATATATGCATAAATCAATTTTTCTTTTTGCATTTCAATCATCCAATATTTTTCCTCCTTCCTTAATCAAACTCTTCTCATTCATTTATTCTTTTCTTTCCGCCTTCCGTCTTCCGTTTTCCGCTTCATATCCATCTTTCCTTTTATTTCATCTTTTATCCGAAATATAAAAATTCATATATTCTTTACATACTCAATTTGTCACTCAATGGGGATTATGGTAGACCAATTTTCATCGTTTCGTTTATATTTTACATTCATTTGGGAATTTCGGTACGCACTCTTTCAAGTGTTAAGTACTTTTTCCTCTCTTCAAATCTTTTGTAATGAAAGAAAAGACAATTGTCAAATTGCTTAATCGCAACATTTTTTCACAATTGAAAATAAAAAATTCAAATAAGTGCTAAGAATTGGAAAAGTGCTAAATTGAAGGGCAATTACAAAGATGATGATTCAAAAAGTTAAACGTTTTTTTCTGCAATTAAATTCGAGGAAATCAAATAAAGCTCCCATTTTTTCACATTTTATTTGAATGATATTCAGAATCACAAATTAAACATCTCTTTATGAAACATATTTTTACATTGAAATCAAAGATGAGCATCGTTAAAACAAAAATGTGTCATCATGTCATAATTAAGTGTAAGTACTTAACATCATTACCATTTACATCTGATACTTGATAATATTGTTACTATCAGCAATTTTCTTAATGCGTTTTTCTGTTAAATGATGAGAATAAATAGTCGTCGCATGATGGAAGGACACTCACTATCATTACCAGGAAGTTTGATCAATGTTTTGGTGTCAAAAACATAACTGAAGATAGCTGCATCCGCGAAGCTATATATAGAGATTAATCAATTTTATCACTGGCAATTAACATTTCAAAACCGTTTATTCTGCTCATGCTTCATTACTGCACAACAATAGAAAATCTGAGATCAAAGTGCCGAATATTTGAAAATTTCTCTCACTATGACTCACCTAAAAGGTTATAGGGAGACTTTGCAGAACATAAGTTCGTTTGAAATGTAAAATTTTATGACATAATTGCCTTAAGTACAAATGTATTAACTATTTGCTACTACACTTTGTATAAAACGATATGGAAAGATTGTTTATTATTTTTAGAACAAACGAACGAACAAAACGAAGAAACGAACGAGTACGGAGAAAGAGAAAGAAGAAAAGGGTCATAAAGAAGAGGTCATGCATCATATGGTACAGCGATGGATAGATTTGGCACCGCAAAAGACTGCTTCTTTGATTAATAACATTACTGATGACAAGTCATCAATTTCTAGAAAAAAATTAAACAAACTCAATATTAAATCCTCAAATTTTTGTAAATCCTCAAATTTGTCAATAAGATGTTCATAATCATATCAAAGTGAGGAATAAAAAAAGAAGACCAAATGAGATACAATAAGATAGGTTAGGAAATTACCAATATAATAAAAAATTAACTAAATAAATAATTTTCAATACAATTTCTGAAAAGAAAGAAATACAAATAAATAAATAAATAAGATCAAGATAATTTCAAATAAAATGGTAGATGGAAAGAAAATAAAGAGAAAGTAACATTAATAATATTAAAATATCAAATAAATAACATTAAAAAAATTCAGTTTTATCACTAAGAATGTTAGATTATTGGGATATACATGAAAATAGGTTAAAACACAATCTTCTACAAGTTTAAAATATCAATTGTCATTGTAATTCTCCCAGGTAATTCATAAAAGATATAATCGCTAAGTCATCAGCAATTTGAATGTAGCGAGGTAAAAGCATGTTTCATAAATTTTCAACATCTTCAATAAAACCCCAAAGAAAGAAAAAAGAAGAATAATATAAGAAGTTACTCATTCTGCAAAAGTCTAATAAACAAAGTTTTGCTCGGCTGTTGTGGAAGATCGGCTGTTGGCTGCTTAATCATCTAGCGCTTAGTCAACCATTAATCAGACAGCTATTAGTAATGAAATATATGTAATGTAATGAAATAAAGTATGTATCAATCAGAAAACTATATCCACGGTACATGCAAGGAATTTGGAGGTAAAAATTTAGATAATGATATAGAATGAAAATGGAAATAATTCATAGAAAAGTAAAGGATGATCTTCACCTAAATCACCCCCAATTTCTTGTTTCAAAAAAACATAAAATTGAAAACATTAAAAATAAAAGACTAAAACGCGATCAGATTTAACTAAAAAACTGCAAACTTCTAAATAACACAGAAAATCCAATGAGAAAAACACAAAAGAGGTGAACTATGTGTCAGACTCGAATGATCCGAGAATCAACAAAAAAATTGAAAAATTAGAAAAACGAATAAATTACGCAGCCATAGTGCTGCCGATAGAAAAAACTAAAACTTTATAATAGGTAAGGTATAACAATTTTTAGAAAACGATAAGGAACAGACTTAACTTAAAAAAAATGAGATATAAATGTCTTAAAAAAATAAATATAAAAAATATTCATAAATAATAGCCTGATACGGTATCATCATCCCAAAAGGTTTTTTTACAAAAACTGAGAAAAAGTGAATTATATTATCTGAGTAACATAAATTTAATTCAACCCTCTAAACGTATAATACAATTTGCAATTTACAAAGTCTATAATTATAGATAAGTTTTGAGGTGAGGGCATAAACTTGGATTAAAACTAGCAGATCTCATAAGAGTGAAATCAGCTGGTCAGATCAGATGCCAGCTGTCGGCTCGTTAGGTGGTCCTTCCGCAGTACTTGCTACGGCCACGGTGTCCACCACCGCGATAGCGATCGCACCTTCCGCCTGGAAAAATTGAAATTTTTTTTTTCTAGGAACTTTCGCTTTTCACTAGTACAAGTGATTAAAGTAAAAACTAAGTTTAAAAAATTTAACAGAAAAAATACATACGTCCGCCTCCTCTGAAATACGCGAGTGACATTCGATAAGGATCTGATGGTGCAACACAGCATGCTGGTGGGTTTTTTCTCCAGTGCCTCAAAAATTATTGAAAATGCTATTAAAAAAAGTGTACCAGCACAAGTAACGTGAAAAAAATCATATGCACGTGCCGTCTTGTGCTCTAGTTAATTTAAGCTAACGACAACAAATTTTAGTAATTTTTACTGATATATTTTTGAAATATAGTGTATTTCCTTTCAGGTATCAAACTAAGAAAATTGTAAAAACGATTAAAATTTGAAAAATGAAACATCACGAAAATTTACCAATCCCTTCGACGATTTTCTCGTCGCTGTTCCCTAATTTCTTCATTATTGCGCTGCTCTTGCTGCTCTTCTGCTGCAAGTATCTTTCAAAATCAAAAACAACTGTGAAAAAAATGTAAAATTGATATATAGACAAATCAAAATTACCTATCATCTTCAAATGCTAAATATACACGATTAACTAGCGAAAAATCTGCTTCTACGGTTTTTACAGAATGGAATACTTCCTAAGAACCACTTGAG